AAATAAAAGCGGAATTGTTAGTAAAGTAAAGTTTTAGTTAAAAAAAATGCAAAGAAGTTTTGCAAATTTTAATAATAAAGTATTTGTGTGCAAAATTTCATTCTCGCGCAGATGATAACCCTCTTCAAAAGTATTTTCGACATCAAACCGCATCCGTTAGAAATTGTGTGTAACGCAAAGTACCCTAGTATTCAATGAAATGTTGGGTTTTTTTTTTTCATTTTTCATTATCTAATGAGCAACATTTATTCATTTTCTGATAATAAGAATAAAAATGCTTAAAAGATCAATGCGCATTAGTCGCAAAAAAATAATTCAAAACATTAACTATTTTTCTAAATGATTTAATATGTTTTCGAAGTTTGTATCAATTGATGTAATTGATGTAATATTTCAATCAACTTATTAATATAATCTATATATATAATACGCGAAGGCATTTTTTGTGCATCATAAAAGATCTGCACCGTTCGTTCGATTTTCAAAAATGGGCTGTCAAATTAAAGCGCTTGGCCTGTAGATGTGCACACTGGTTTTTTTTATTTTCGAAACGAGTTGCCACCTTTTAAATAATTAAACTCAAGTTATTTACTAATCAATGCCCTCAGATCCGCACCGTCCGTTCGATTTTCAAAAGTGAGGTACCAAATTAAAGGGCTTAGGATGTGGTTATTCAAGAAGGTTTTACTTTTTCGAAACGAGTTGCCTTCTGTTAAGAAATTAAGCTCAGATTAATTAAAAAGTTAAATCAATTAATAAATATGGGTATCAATCGAAATGGTTTTGAGAAGGCTTTATAACTTAACTACATATAGAAGGGTTGCCACATGTGTAAAAATAAATTCAATTCAATTTTAATTAAATGAATTTGGTAAGTGAATAAGGTACCGCTATGTGGGTGTCATAAAAAAAAGGTTAAGAAGGGAGTAGTTTGGAAATATTTTAAATAGGGTTGCTTCCTAGTTGAGAAGTCTAATTGAACTATTTTATACCCAAATTATATAGTTACATATATAAAATATTAACGATGGATGTCAAACGAAAGAGCTTCAAGAAATTATTGGGAGATTCACAACGGTGCCGTAACTGTCGTATTGTTGTATGTCCTAAGTTTTAAAAGCATAAATAAATGTTTGGAGAACTTGAAACCACAACCAACCATTTTTGAACACTGCGGAAATTCAAAATATGACTTTGATGGTACTTTGCGAACCCCCTTAGTATATTTTTTAGGCGTTTAAAGTTTACGACATACAACAATACAACACTTACGACACCGCTGTGAATACCCCAACTTAGTTTGTCAGTTTAGAACATTTTTGATGTGTTTGAGGGTTGCCCCAGTTCAAAGGGCTAAACTAAAATTATTTAATAAGTTAAATGAATTACTAACCGATGATTATCAATGGAAATGGGTTTAATATCCTTTATTCAAGAACTATATTTAGGAGGCTGGCCACGTGTTTAAAAAATAAATTTCCACTTAATTCATCAGTTATTTTAAGTGTTTATAACAGTGTCAGACGAAAAATATCTAAGGACATTTTAGTTCGAAAATAATTTTTAAGAGGGTTGCCGCCTGTTTTGAAAGTGGTATTTTGTTTAATTATACATAAGTTACATGATATTTTAAAATATGGTTATCAAAAGAACGAGCGTTAAGAAATCCTTAAATAAACATTTGATTTTTTTTTTTTAAATTTACCTCAAATTATTTAATAAGTTAAATGGATTGTCAAAAGATGGATATCAATCGAAATGGCTTTGAAAATGATTTATTTCTAAACTGTATTTAGGAGAGGTGCCATGTGCTTAAAAAAAATTAAATTCACCTTAATTCATCAGTTAATTAAAATATGTATAACAATGCTAGGCGAAAGATTTTAGTTTGAAAATACTTTTAAAGGGGTTGCCACCTGTTTGAAAAGCCGAATTCGTTTTACTCGTACGAAAAATACATATATGAAATATCGAAATATTAGTGTCAAACGAAAGATTTTTAAGAAAACTATGGGCTGATAATATTTTTAATTAGAGTTGCCATCTTTTTTTTTTTTGAAGGTCATCACATGTGCACAGTTATTTCGAATTTCCAAAATGAGAAGTCAAATTAAAGACCTAGGATTCTACATAGATGTGCACAGGTTTTATTTTTTGAAGTTTTGACGTCTTTTTTATCTGCAACTTCCTGACATTCCTCATCGCACCAGTTATTGTTTCTAGCTCACAGGAGGCAGCTGTGCTAATCGGTTCACTCTTTACTACGCTTACACTCGGGCCAAACGTCTATATAACCTTTTTACTGCTGCACAGAATGTGGTCCGAGTCGATACTGGAAATATGTATTCCGTCTTTCATAGCATGCTGTGAAAATATGAATGTACGTGTCAACATGGATAGGTGCAAGTATAAGCCTCTACCTGCACAAATCAGCCAAATTAAGTTAGAACGCTGTAAACAAAATTGAGAAATGAAAGAAACAAATATTTAGATATACCATTTCATATGCGATGTGTATATAACTACTTCGAGTGGTTTGAGGTGAATATAGCCAAGCAATTTACGTAATACACGGCCAGAGTATTTGAGAATAGATACATACATGTACATATGTATATTTATATGTGATACATATGCAGATTATTTGCAATAAACAGAATTGCCTCAAAGTCACGTTTTCCATGACAAAGAGTGTAAATGAGCGGGTGCTTGCTTACATATATATATATATATACTCGCACATATTAGTGTTGCCAGATTTTGTTTGCAGCCATATGGGACAAATGCATAATTTGTCCCAAGAATATGGGAATTACAAAAATTTAAACGGGACAAACGAGAATTAAAGGCTTTGCTTTAAAAGCCCAACTACGGACAATATATTAACAAAGGTGATCCATTTCAACGAAGTAATGCTCAGATTAGTTATAAGCTTACGACAAATTTCGTTTATTTAATGGCAACACTTTTTAATTTATACAAAAATATGTATGTACGTAAACATATAATTAACAAAACCATACAAAAGTAAGAGATACAGCTGCGGTCAAAATAATAGCAGCAAAATACAAAATCATGCTGTTATCAACTTAAATATCTATATATATTTATTTTAATTAATTTTCATTTAAAATATGGGCCGATCCATATCAGATACAACATAAATAAAAGTTTCAAGACCTGCAAAAAGTTCACAAAAACTAATTAAACTTAAAAATTTTTTTATAAAAATTTCGATATTTTTTAATGAGATCTCCTAGAAAGATTTTGAGTATGCGACTATTCAGTATAATAAAGTGCACGTTTGAAGTCGCTAAAAATTACAATTGATTTTTTAGATATTTTTTGTGGAGGATGTTACGCATTTTCTTCCATATAAAAGTCAGTTTTGTTCATGCATTGTATGGACGTAAATTTGCAATACCCTCCACAAAACAAAAATTCTCAAAAATCAACGGTAATTTTTAGCTATATTTCTCTTACATTAAATTGTCGAGAGTACGAGAAAAATCTTGTCCCGGTGGAACATTTCAAATTCAATGCAAAAAATACGGGACGCTCCGTCAAATAGGGGACATTTGGCAACGCTAGTGCATGTATATATGTATATGTAGATACATATGTATGTACATAAGTAGACTACGTATTTTGAATATACATGCATTTGAAATTGGTGTATATGTACATAAGTATGTACATAAATGCAGTAAAATTTTGTCGGTGTAACAACACACTATCAGGACTTAGGCAAGCTGCTTTGTCAAATTTTGAAGGCGCAGCAGTAATTAAACCATTTACGCTCGATTGCTGCCTACACTTGAGATACTCTCTTAGATGGTGCAATGCGGTACGGTAGTGTAAACAATTATGTATTTTGTCATTGCATCTCTGATAACCGCATTGCTAATTAGCAGAGTTATATATGTATGTTGATGCATCAGCCCAAACTAACAAAAGGTTGTAGTGGCAATTTAAGAATATAAAGTAGTACATAGATACATACTGTGTCAAAAGCAGGACGCTTTCGTGTACGTGAGCAGAAGATGTACATATGTATGTACATACTTATATTTCATACGTACAATAGAGTGGTCTCAAAAAAAAATAAAAAATCTTGGATAGGGTTTGTGGCACCTTCCAATATTTTTCCACTCGCCGAAAGAGATGCTGGTACCAAACCTTACGTTTCCAAGTATAAATTTAGAGGGTGCTCATGATGCTCATATTTTACTCCAGAAGTATTGCGTACATACATATATTAATCAAACAATTGGTTAAGTAACCTAAGAACATTTCAAATTTAAATTATCTAAAAAAAAAATATTATAAGTTTCAGTTGTCATGGCAACAGTACTTTTCTATAAAAATCACCAATTTTTTTTTGTCACTCTCACAGCGATCCAGTAGCGCATTTCAAGGTCATTGAGCAACCTTTATTGGTTGCAGTAGAAAACTGAATGTTGGTATAGATATTACAAATGTTAAAAGGAAAAAACTAAGGGGTGCCCCATTTTCTAGGATGAGAATTTTTTTCCCCATTATTATTATGAAAAATCACCTGTGAAGTGCAGAACATAAACGTATTCAAACGAAAAAGTCGACAAAAAAAAGTTTGGTTAACGTAAACAAAAGTGTGGTTAATATTACCAAATCAGTGTTGAAAACAGCAACCAAAGCATTGTTAATATTAACCAAAAATCACATTGATTCCTTTTCAAGTTTTAATTTGGTAATGTTAACCAATTTTTGGGTGATTTGTTTTTCTCAGTGTATGCAAGAAAATGCCTAACACGGATAAAACTAAATTGTAAAAAATTAATGCGATTTTTAGCAACTTCAAAATTTCACCTCATTATACACAAATTTTGTGTGCTTTATAGCATGCTTGCTTACCTAAAAAAACGTTTCTACAAGTTCTGAAAACAAAGTTTAACACTAATACTCAAAATATGTATATAAGTTCATAGCACTCTAATAAGTTTTTCGTAATTTTCTTGCAGTGCATCGGCATACGCGATCGCAGTAAAACAGTGGAATTATGGAGTGGCGTCGCACAATATTGCCTGCTTGTCGGTAATTACAACAGTGCCACAGCAATACTCGAATCACTGGAATCGCCACCAGTAGCGAGACTAAAAATAACGGTAAGTAAGTAAATAAATCCCACGAGAGCACGACGCGCACACCAAGCACTACACCAAACCAAAATAAACCAACTAATTAATACCAAACTGTACGCTACAGCTGGGCGCACGTGCAGCCGACACAAATTACTTTGACAAATATTCATTTAAAATTCTAGCGCAACAAATTTATGTGCAAATTTTATGTGAAACCGACGTGCTGTGTGCTAAGTAACGTTACATAAATATGAAATAAGAACATAAATAGCACCAATACATATTTATAACAAATTCAAGCACGAAAATGAATAGGCTGGATGGATGGTTGGAGCTTGTGTGGTATGGAAATTAACGTTAATTCAAATGCGAAAATTTTCCATGCACGCAACATTTAAGCCATGCGACGATGCATCGAAATTCATGTGACAAGCATTCAAAAATTAAAAATCGCACATTTCAGGATGCACGAGTTAATATTTACTAATATTTATAGAGCGTAGTGCGTGGCCATGTCTATGTGCGCTATTTTACGGTATACGGTATACGTATTTATGTATGTATGTTATAAGCCACATTTCCGACGCATCTATTTAAATTATAACGAATTTCATTACCGCCTACTTGTGCATATATCCGCCTTTGCTGCCGCCGCAAGGCAGGCGTGGTTGGCTTACATAGCTGCCGTGGAAATTGGCAGTTTGTTTAATTTGCTTCACCTGGCTTTGCTTTGCTTTACCGCTATTTGTGTGTGTGTGTGTGTGTGCTTACGTGCGTAATTAAATTTCATAAAGCGCACACAACAAAACCAGCAGTGGAAATATTAATAGCAACAGGCGCCCGCCTGCCACCACCGAGTCGAAAGTTCAAAACTCGGCCTTCGCATGTAGGCTACCCCTTCTCCATGCTGCACTTTAGTTCAGTGGCCTCCGCTACGCGATTTTCCAAACTAAATAGATTATTTCAATGCCGCGCGTAAAGAGTGTGTCAAAAATGCTTACCACCACCGCTTACCTTTAAGCGTGCCGAGCCATACAAACAAATTTATTTACATATTTAGATTTAAGATTTTCCATTTCCGACTTAATATGCTTTCGCCTCTCTTCTGCTGCGCGTTGGTTGGCGGCAAAGATTTTTAGAAGCGTGTTTTTCCAACTTCCAGCATACTTATACCGGTTGAGCCGCGTAAAGCCTACGCCGTGTAAGCACTTAAGCTGTAACCTGAGATTTTGTAGCTACGGCACGCATTTCCTTCAGCACGCCATGTTTCACACACACACACACACACAGACGCACGCATGCGGCGACCCAAGCAGGCATTCATAATTACCACATCCCAAGGGCCTAGGCAGTGGCAGCAATTTCCGTGCTTCTTACTAGCAGCTTACTCTGCTACTTAGCTGGCGGATTAAATTTTAATAGAAACTACGTGTAAAATTGTTGAAATAATAATTTGCCATGCATTACGATGCGTTTACACGTAGTACATAGCTGTCGCATTGGCTTTTGTGTTACATTGTTTACTTATGCAGAAAAAATACTTAGACTTTGGCAATGTCTGTGTGCTTGTTTAGCTGTGCTATCAGTAGCTTCACACGCCACAAATTTTTGTTACTACTTACTTGCGAATAGACTTTTTTATGGGGCGTTCCAGCCTAATTCGGACACCATTTATTTTTTGCATCTCTAATTTTTCAAAATTTTTAGTTTATTCTTTAACAAAACCCGTGTAAATCCAAGTTTCCAAATTTGTGCAATATTAAAAAAAAAAACAACAAACTTTCGTACAAATTTCGAGCTTTTTTAAAAATTCTACAAATTCAACCGTAGTTTTTAGTCATTTGAAACTTTAACTTTATTCTACTAGAATTCAATGGGCTACAGAACTGCATACTTAGAATCTAATTAAAAAACTAGAAATTTTTACAAAAATTTTTTGATTTTTTTTTTTAATTGCATAAATATTTAAGACAGTGGCACTCGATTGCTACATTTATGCAGATTGGTACATTTTTATAGTACAAAATAAAAAAAAATTCAACATTTTTGTGGAATACTGCGATGTTCTATTGAAAAATTTCAACAAACTAATTTTCGTGATTGGTATAAAGAAAAATATTTGGGATACGATTTGCACCAATCTTTGGCAATCGTGTGACACTGCCTTTAAACTTGTATTTATACGGGTGTTGTCAAAGAATGAACTAAAAAAAGACTAATCAAAATTAAATAACAACAAAAATAATATGAAAATTGTCAAAATTTGGAGCGGCTATAATTTTTTCGACTACTGTACATTAGTCTGCATCACCAAAAAAAGTTGCGGTCTTTCCGGTGGGATTACTAATCCTAGTATATTTTAAGACTTCTACCAAAATATTTCACAAAAATATTAAGATTTACGTGAGCTAAACCGGTTTGAAAATACCTCTAAAAATTATTATTTTTATGAATAAAAATAGTTTCTTAAAGGATTTTTTGGAAAAAATCCCCTCAGAGGAGTTGATGTGAGGTTAGTAGAGTTGAAATGAGAAAAGCTGATGTGAGGTTAGTTGAGGTGAGATGCGTTGAACAACACATCATTGCATGACTTAACGTAACATAACATAATATAATCTAAAAAAAAACATAATATAACATAACAAAACATAAAACAACTAACCATAACATAACAAACCATGACGTAATATACCATAACATAACATAGAATGAGATAACGAAACATAAAATAACATAACAAAACATATCATAACATAACGTAGCAGAACATAACATAGGATAACATAACATGGCATAACTTATCTCATTATTCAGTGTTAAGTTTTTCATTGCCTCTATATATTTATATCTATCATATTCTAAAGATATTTCCTCCTCATTTCAAAAGTAGTTATTCCAAATCGGCACATTTTTCGCAAAGTTATTGGCATTTAAATTTTTTTTTTGTTCAAAAACCAATATTTCAACAACGGCTGCACAAAAAAAACTAAAAAAGAAACAGTGCGGCCTCCCTTTCGCAAAGTTATTGGCATTTAAATTTTTTTCTGTTCAAAAACCAATATTTCAAAAACGGCTGCACAAAAAAAAATAAAAAAAAATCAGTGCGGCCTCTCTTAATGGGTACCATAACACGGAAAATTATGCGAAAAAATCGGAGATGCAAAATTTGAAATTGTGTACGAATTGAGCTGGAATTCCCCATATACATATAGATGAATGTATGTGTATACATTTGAAATGAAAGTAATTTCTAGCGGATTTCACATGCAAATTGCTACAAGCTTTGGAGGTCACTTTCTGTAATGGTCCATTGTAGATACTCACTACTACAATAGGCGCCCTAATGTAGGCCATCTTTTTGTTATTCATTTCAATGCGCAGGAAAATGCAGACACATTAAGTATTCAGTTTTATTATGAGAATGCGTGACATGCCATTTGCTTAGTGTCCTATTGAAAGTTTAATTGCCCGGAGAGCAATATCAGTAAGGGTAAAAAGCTTAAAATGTAATACATACATATCGGTGTATGAAAGAAGCCAGTATCAGGTATTCTAACTACGTGGCAACCCTATTTTAGGTTATTGGGTCGCTTATTTTTTAATTTATTAATTTTATAAAAACCTGGTTCCACCTGTTTAAAAATTAAAAACAGATATGAAGATATGTACACATAAAGTAAAATATTATCAAATTACGTGCTCTTCACTTAGAAAACTGTGAGTCTTTTAATTTTTTTTTTTTTATTCAATACCATGTGGTTATTTTTACTTAACTGCTGGCAACCCTCTTCAAAAATACTTTATAAATAGAGCTTACTTAAACATCTCACGTTTGACACCCACATAAATATATATCATTTAACTTGTCGATGAAATGGAATATAATTACTTAACAAATGGCAACTCCTTCAAAAATATTTTCCAAATAAAGATTTTTAAAACTTTCGATTGCTACCTGCATTTGCATATACATATATTAAATAAAATATTTCATTTAGCTTGTTAAATAAATTGATTTTAAACTGTTAAACAGGTGGCAGCCCTTTTCGAAAATATTTTACAAATAGAACTTTCTTAAATGATTCTCGTTTGGCACCCATATACAAATCTTTGATTTGAATTATAACTTTTTGAACAGGTGGCAACTGTCTTGTAAAATATTTTCGAATTATTTGTATCACTTAGTTGTAGAACATTTCCTTCATAGTGAATTTTTCCATGACAATTTTCATCAATAACTGTTATATTCGGTCCCTGCCATAAATTTCTCCCTTCGACTAGCATAGTTTTCACTCAATGACCAATATGCAGCCCGATCAAATATGTTTACAACTTAAGCGTGGGCCCACATATTAAATTTTGATAAGTTTCCATTAGGTAAATCATTACTAAGTAAATATTTAATACCTTCTGCTTGAACTTGTAAGAGTAACTTCATTGATGTTATCAGCCATCATAGCTTAAATGTGCTTTTAGCATTACATTTTAAACTGCATTACCATTATACTAAAGGAGAAGAAAATTTTAAATGAGGTGTATATGTATGTATGTATTTAAAAAACTGAAGTATACAACTTGCAATTGAATTCAAGTATCCGTACACAGAATGCACTCAGGGGGGTGTCTCCACATAAATAAGTATATACTTGTACGTACATCATATACTCCTTGCCATGTTACATGTAAATACATATATTTTGTCCAAGTACCTACATATGTACATATGTCCATATAGTTGTAACGAATAGTGCTTCCATGTCCTGTGCCACAACCAACTTCAAGAGTTTCCTTTTTAAATTTTCTTGGCTCTGCATATATATCCACTACTACACTAACACATACAAAACAACTAACCTTTGTGCATTTAAAACCTGCAAAAATCGTTGGACCAACTGGTCCATTTGTGACATATAGGAGTACAGTGTTATCTGGCTGGAGTGAACACCCGATGCTACGAACACCTCGAAAGAGTGAACATGAAAATTTTTCCATTGAGTACTCTATAGAGTGAACAATTTTGAGTC